TGAAATAATTTAATACTTATACATAACTTGCTTTCCTTAAAAAAAGGAATCCTTTAATTTTCTGTGATAGGATTGCCTTAAAAAAGTACCAATTTTTTTTTTTTTTACAAAAAAAAAGAGAGGAATGTCTATTTCGTCACCTGGTCAGGGACTGAAAATAAAAATAATTCATAATAATGATTGAGACTGGGATTGGGTGATTTCAGTAAGAGAAAAACAGATGGTCATGTCTGACCTATTTAGCTGAGAATTTTCAAGAAGGTCCCAACTCAGAATATTAACACAAAAACATGCATAAATAAGACGGCAAAGCACATTAACGGGCCTGTGTATGCACACACGTTTACAACGAAAGGGCAGTAGCGTTTTCCAAGTGTGTTTTCCAAGTAGTGTTTTCCAAGACACTACTGAAATGGAATGTGTAATTACCCAGAGGCCAGCATAACAGAGAATAGTGTTGACATAAATAACAATGTGATATCATTTTTTAAGTATTTTATTAACTATTTAATAGGGGTTGGAGAGTACATATAAAAAAATTTGCTGGATCATTACCAAATGATACTAAAGATTAAATGTGAGTAAACCCTTGAGAAACTCTCAGAGGAATCCACATTTGTATGGTGGAAATAACTTTTAATACTTATACTATAACTTGCTTTTCTTTTAAAAAGTGAGGTAATTTCCTTTAATTTTTCTGTGGATAGCATTGCCTAAAAGTACTGAGAAAAATAATGCAGAATCATAAACCTTTCCATTGAGATTGTTAACATAGCTTTAACCACAATTAATATGATTCCATGTATCTAAACTGTTCTGTATTATCTCCGTTTTTTTAAAAAAAATATTTTAAAAGATAGTTATAATTTTCAGTCAATTAGGCATATAATTATCCCTGATTAATGAAGTTGTGGGAATTGTTGCATTAAATCTGGCTAGTTTTTTATACATTTTTGATAATCTGAGTCTTCCAACTATTGAATGAGTTCCCCCAGAGTAATAGGGAGATCTTCACCCAAGTCATAGTTCACAACGGGTCCCCTGAAGGCACATGGCATACTGTAGTATAATAGTTGACACAATTATACCTATGGTCACCTTGAATGAAGTGTCAATTGAGGGCAAGACTCATGGCAGGAATGGAGCCTATTAACACACTTCCCCTTGTCTGTGCTGGTCTGGCTGCGAATTCCTAATATGCCACCAGAAGTAGCCAACCTGGAGCATTTATATGGTACCATAACTTTCAGGTAGCAGTTAAGCCCCTGCTAAGGGACGTTAAGGGTCTTTAAATTGACTCCTTCCATAACAGAGAGGGAACCACCACTTATCCTTACAAAATAGACATTAATTCTAGATCTGATTTTCTTTTTTGTGACTATCCTTTATCTTTTGGCACTACCATATGAGATAGAAACTTTGTGGATGCTGGTGGAATCTCAGATTACACTGAGTCTTACCAAGCAAGTTAATTTGCAGTGAAAGAAGCTAGACAACGAAGGGTTGCCTTTGGGATCCAAAGATCATAACCTAATATATCATCGCCCAGAAGCAGCTGGTCTTATAGATTGGGGAGATAGCTTTTTAAAGACATGGTTACAGCACCAGCTGGAAAACAATACCCATGAGGGTGTGGTGTTATCTTTAGCATGTGGCACAATATCTAGACATGCCAGTGATATTTTTTCCATAACTGATATATGGATTCAGGGATAAAGACAGAGGTGGGTGGAATTCTTCATAATCACACTTTCAATAGCAAAAACATTTGCTTCCCTTCCTCATAACCTTGGGATGGTGGTTAGAATTTAGAACCCAAAGGAGCAATGCTATCACATTAGGGAACACATTGATAATTCCAATGAAATTGGAACCTGCCCTGCAAATTTAAGCCTCCTTGTGTCACAGGGTCAAAGGGCAAGGAAAGGATTATAGTATGGGTTGTGTAGATTCAACCTGACTAATAAGAGAAAACAGCTCTGTTATCATCCAATGAAAGCAGGGAAAAGCATGAATTGAACCCAGGTGATCACTGACAACACTTCTTCATATTATTACATGAAAGGGCAAAAGTGCTTTGGATCGTAACACAACCTCATTCTGGCCATAAGACCAGCGTTCTGGGTCCTTCCTTAAGAAAAGTCTGAGTGACTCCAGTGGGTAAAGAAATCAAATTATCTGAGATGTCAACAGGAGGCAAACAGATGTGTAATAAAAAAGGAGTATCATAGGTGTCATCAACTTCAACTGCCTTGGGTCCAGTTGCAACATGGAGGAGTGTAACCACACCCCGTGGACTGTATCGCAATAACAGGAGGACCAACGTTATGCAGCAGGCATGGTGAGCTCTAAGGGCAGGCTGCCTGGATTGCACCTGGCTTCCTGACCCTGTGGACTTCCAGCCTCTCTGTGCCTCAGTTTTGTTCCCTTAAAAATGTGGATAACGATGGCACCTACCTCCTAAAATTGCAATTTGCATTACATGAGATAAGGTAGAAACAAGTACAAAATTAATGTGCTTAAGAATGCTGTTTACTAATTGATAACAGCTATTATCATCATTGTTGATTGCTCTTGATCCTCTTCCTTGCGGTATCACATATTTATGTTGCGCATTCTTTCTTTCTTTTTTCCTCTTTTTCCCGACAATTGAAAAGAGGGTTTATTGTTGCTGTTTAGCTTTTCTATTTAGTCAAGATTGCTGAATACTGGTGAGGTAATGGCAAAATTAGTGGAGAAATGAGTATCCACAGATACTTGAAGCTATATGCAGTGAGGGGTGAGATTTTGGATCATCTCCCTTTAGGGAAGGGGCATTATCAGTAATAATAAGATAGTTGCATTTGAGAATTGTTTGTTTATAGATGCTTAAACATTTTTAGAAATATAAGTGTTGAAAAACGGCATATTGAGATTTTTGGTAGCCGAAGTATTAGATTTTAGTGGATGTCTGCCTTTTAATTTTAATCCCAATATTTCCATTCCAGTTCCTTTGGGAGAGGTCCCTCTCTGAATCTTGGTGGGGCCATGGAAGCCAAAATGGTCTGAGGATCCCTTCCATTGCCCTCGGGGAGTCATGAGCCTGTAACCTAGTCTAGGATAGTTGGTTATTCTGACTTGGAACTTTGTCTCTTTTGGAAGTGATACAAGCATAGAGTTTAGAATCTTATATTATTGTAGCAACTGCCTCTCTCCAGGGCTTGATGCTTCTTCTCCCTATAATTTCCCTTCAGGACATGGGAAAATTGTACCCAGTGAAGTCGTCAGCTTGTAGAGACTGAACAAAGTCTAAGTGTCCAAAGACTCCGTGAGTCAATGGTAATTGATAAATGATTGACCTAAGGTCTAAGGATATAAGAACATGAAAAGATTAATGATTTTTTTTTGAAGAAATATTTAAAGGTCACTAGGGGAGGAGAAAGCAAACTTCAAGAAAACTGCCAAGGAGAAGAACGGATGAAAGTCTCGAGCATGAAAAGCACCCATTTCTCCCTGGAGTGACTTTAAAAAAACGCACGGTCCACCGAGGAGTGAGGTGGTGAAGACGTTTGACACTCTTGGAAAGGACTGTCCCTCGAGTGGATACTTCTAGAGGTATAAGGGAGCAGGGGGAAATGGGAGCAAAATCAGAAGAGTTCAAGTGTGTTTTTTTTCAAATTTAGCAGGTAAATATCTCCATGTTTCATGGGTAGATCCGTGTTTAGCTTCTGACAAAGCAATAGATTGAATAAACAGAGAAATGGCTTGGGTGTTAGGAGATCAGATTCTGGCTGGGCCCCTGGGTTGTTTGTATATTTTCTTTAGTCCTCCATTTTCAAATATATAAAATAAGTAGAAAATCTGTGTCCTAGCTACATTGCAGAGTTGAGTCTAATATTAAATGAAATAATACAAATGAAGGAAGTGCATATATTCTAACACATACAGAACAAAACGGTACTGCTACTTACAAAGTTGAAGTATGAAATTTGTCAAATCTGACTTAAGCAGAAGAATGTATTTTGCTATCTGTGATGGCCACTGCACAGCCTGTGGGACACATGCATGCCAGATAAACTTGGCAAATGTGTGGGAAAATGAACATCCTCATTCACATTTTTGCTCACTTGTATGGACTTTGAGGAAACCCTCCTAAACAGAGCTATTATAGACATTTCTCCTGCCCCAGTGCTAGACGTAGGCTGTCTCTAGTTTGGAAATGGAGAATAAAGAAAGGAAAGGTCAGGTATTGACTGGCATGACCAACCTGCGTGCAGAATTTAGCACTTTACTATTGTGCCACTACTCTACAAAACACTGAAAAACATACCAATTTAACTAAGAACCTGTTGGGAGGAGGAAAAACAGCAGCAAACAACTTTAATTCCCTTTACACACTTCTATTATTTTCTGAAGTCCCTCTTCAGCTGCCAATCCTTAGATTTCCTCTGTTTCCCTCTCTACTACTTAGATCTCTCTCACTCTCTTTCTCTTTCTATCTCTCCCCTTACCCCAACCCCAAGCACCAGTGGTGCCATAAGTCCTACAGCCTCAGTTCCAGATGGCTTATTCAAGTATTAATCTCACACAATCAGTTATCATCCTAAGGGGACTTCTGCTGTTAGGAAAAATAAGCTTCTCCTCACAGAGTTGGTAATACTTGGATGTCTTTGAAGCTACACAATTGCTCCATCCCATCCCTTGGGCACTGCACTGCCAAATTCTCCTTGGTCTACTCTGAACCTCTGTAGGCATCAGGCACATGGATGGGTTCAATTTCTGACTCCTTGGGGCTAGGTAAAGCCACATATCTAGTTAAGACCGATGAGCTTTGAGCAGAAGTTATGCACCTGTGGATGGAGCATTACTTTCCGGTGTTTCAACTCTCCAGAGTTCATTCTTCCTTCTGCTGCAGCAATGGCCCAGCTATAGATTAAGATGGGGCACTCTACCAGTCTAGGTCTCAGTCTGCAGAGATGTGGAGCCCAGCCCCTAGCTGACTGTTGTTGGACATGTAGCATGGGAGGTGAAAAATAAAAGACAGCTTTAAAACCTTTGGTCTAGAAGCCACTAATTATCTGAGGATTGTTTCTTATGAAGCACAACCTCTTCTATCCTGACTGATACAATTCTTCAATCCCAGAATGTGTAAATTACTTGATAATAGCTTTTTAGCTGTCTTTAACTTTCCAGACCCCAAATTTCTCCCTCAAACTCTATGAATCTTTGAAAATAGCTCATTTCTTACAAAAGTATATAGAAAGGTAGAACCCAGATATAAATCTCATTTTGTAGTTCCTCAAATTTTCATCTCAAAGAAAATCTTTCCTCTCATGTCTTTCACATTCTGATAAAAAAGAGAAATTTTCTAAAGGACAAAAAGAGAAGATTCCTATGAATAATCTCTTGTTTCTAAAATGACTTTCATGTAAAACTATTGTTTTATGGTAGTCTGTGCTGTTTGGTTTCTCTGGCAGTACAGAAGATGTCTTCTCCCATAAAATGGGCAAAATTCTAAAACCTCTCTCAAGGGAATTGTGATGATTAAATTAGATAATGCACTTTAAGTTCTAATTAGAGTGTCTATCAAATAGTAAATGCTTAATAAATATTAGCTATTATTATTATCTGGTAGTCCAGATACACACACACACACACACACACACACATATAAATTAGAGAAAGATTTTTTTTTATAGGGGCAGATCCCTCATGAATAGATTAATGCCCTCACTGAGGAGGGCAAGTGAGTTCTTGCATTCTTAGTTCCAGTGAGAGCTGGTTGTTATAAAGATCCTGGCACCTCCTCCCTCTGCTTCCTTTCTCACCACGTGATCTCTGTAGACACTGGCCTCCCTTTCACCTATGCCCATGAGTGGAAGCAGCCTGAGGCCCTCACCAGGAGCAGATGCTGACCGTGCTTCTTGTACAGCCTGCTGAAGCATACGCCAAATAAACCTCTTTTCTTTCTAAATTACCCAGCCTGCAGAATTCCTTTACAGCAACACGAAATGGACTAAGACACTTCTAAAATGAGTGTCTGCTTCCTTTTGTGTAGATGAGGAAAGCTGATGAGGATCAGAGGGATGAGAGTAATTATCTGGGATGTACTTATGCTGAGCTAGAATTTGCATAGAGACTTAGGCTGGGGCTGGAAGTGATGCCATCTCACAGTGTTCAGCATTCACTTCCTAAAATTACTGATGAAGAACTTGCGGGCAGACTAAACCACTCTCCTCTCAACTGTGCCTGCTGTCTTTGCCTTGGGACATAAATTCTAAAAAGCCTTTTTTTTTTTTTCAAGAAAAAAATAGGATTTGGCAGACTTTTGTGTTTCCTGATATGGCAACCCATCATTAGAGTCTCCAGAACAGGTGAGGGTTCTTTGGCTCTCACACAAAAAGGTATACTCTTGTGTCCTATTTTTAACACATTGACTGCCACATCAGAAAAAGTAAATATTTTTCCTTGGGGCCACAGTGTTTTATTACAAAAATAAAATAAAAACTTCGGAAACAAAATGATCCTTTCTAATTTAACGAAGAATGAAATTTATTGACTTCTCTATTCCTTTAATCTACATTTTTAGAACTAATTTGTCAATACTAATGGTAACAATAAGAATATTCAACAATTAAGATTTTCAAGAACCAACTGCAGGGTTTTGCCCAGGTTTTGCTTCATGAGGCCCCAGGCTCAAAACTAGCATGAATTAAATACAACTCACATGGCAGTTAATGTGTTAATAAGAAGTTTGCCAAGAGTACATACATGTTTTGCCTTCTCATTTAACTATGTAATTGCTAACTGGACATTTAATATGCAAACCTAATAGGTAACCCTTTATGTACCACCTC